AACAATAGGCTTGAAGGTCTTCAGAGTGCTTAGGTCATATTGATGCAGATAGATCAACTAGATAATCTTAGGAGACTTCCTCTAACTCCACTTATTCTGATTCACCATGGTGAAATGGAGGAAAAGGTAAACTGAAGTAAAGAACAATTGCTTGGCTTTCTCATTTCCATGTGTGAAAACAAAGTGCAGCGTAGTTCAACTGTATTGTTTCAACTTTTTTTTCTTTCTTTTTTTTTTCTTTAAAACATACAAAACATTTCTTTGACTGCAAGATCACCTGCATATGTGATGTAGTGCTTGCACAGATTAATTTTAGATACTTGAATTTTGTCATTATCAAAACAGAATGTCTCGCACTGCCTTTGCGGTGATTCCAACATCAACAAGAATCATCTGTGCTGTAGATTTGCATCTGTGGGAATGACTACAAAGACCCAACTTTATAGCGTATGGAAACAAGAACTATTTTTGAAGTATCAGTCCAGCTATGGCAATGCGGAGGTTCAGCACAGTGTACTCCATTTCTGGGCTGAGGTTTGTACCCTGCATTGTGTTCCATTTTGCTGGAGTGAAATTCCTAGCAACACCCAATTAAAACAAGCACTGAGTGTTTACTCCCCATCACTGCCACTGCTTTGACTGCAGTGTAAACGCACCACTAATGACTTGGCGGATGGAAGGGGAAAATTACGTGTCAGAGCCAAGTACAGAACCAGGAATTTGGGCCATCAGCCAGCTGGTTAAATCACATTGAGTGCCTGTAATGAAATGCATTGATTTGTGACTCTTACAATAACGTTTTTAGGAAATAATTTCAGTGTCTATTTATTTGTGTGTTGGAGCAGCCTGATGAGGTTGGAAAACTAAAGCAGACACTGTGCTTATAGGCCAAGAGCAAAATTTTAAAAATAGGTTAATTAACCATTGGAGTAATTTTTCTAAGAATGTGATGGGTTCTCCATCATATTCTGTTGCACAGTCAATACCAGTTAGTTGCATAAAATACGTGCTGTAGCTCCAGTAGGAGTTCTGTGTTCCACTAGAAATGATCATCCAAAGTTCTTTGGGTTCTGTCATCCCTGAGATGAGACAATGTTGTTGTAATGGTTCCTCCTGATGATAAAAATTCCATGAGCCTGTGATAGTCATTGAGTCAGGGTGTTAGTGATTCTATGTAGTAACAGATTGAGATCCCATAAATGGCAGATTTTAACTAGAAACAATTTTCACAAATGGGACTACCAAATTACAAAGATGCATTCTGCAGAACTGGACACCCTGCCAATCCTGCGGCTGATATAATGTGCAGTGATGATTTAGCGAGCTCAGAAAGAATTAAACCATCAACAAAATGACAGACTTGGTACATTTCAAAGCATCTGGTCAGATCTCATGGAATTTCTTGGCTGCTACCTGTCCAGTCAGAGAGAAAGAAATAGTGGGGAGAGTCCATAGCCACCTTGTAGTATTTCATCAGATGTCTCAGAAGAGCAGATGAGGATACTGAGCAGTGGATAAGGTAAGAGTTTATCTACTTGGGGGTTTGTATGGACCCTTTTTGGGACTGGTTCTTCTTTAATGTCCTTACAGATATATGTAAAAGTATGTGGTCTTTCTTGTCTGCTTACACTTTATGGTTAGCTAAATTACATAAATAACTTTTTTTTCTGCATGCTCAGATTAACAGTTCCTAGGATGCTAGAGTTTAAGTACTCTGTGAAAAGTAACCCCCTATATATATGTATGTGTAGTCTTGTAATTCTTATTCAGAAATTGAGACACCTGGAATCTCTAGAGTCCTCAAAGTCTGTGTTACTGCATCTGATTTTTTTTCTTCTCATGTCTGCTTTCTGTTTTTGAATGGTTGATAACCATAAAGACTTAAAAACAAACAAAAAAACAAACAAACCAGCCACATAAGTCTTATTTTAAGAAAAAAAAAACAGTAGAAGAAAAATAAAAAGTAGTTAGGTCCAAACTGATGGACTTGTTTGTCCATCTTTAAGATGCATTTACTTATTCCAATTCAATATTTATTTCTGTTCTACCACAGTCTTGATATCTAGCAATGTAAGCTGTTCATATTTAAAAATGGAATTCACCTTTAAATGTGCTTAGACTAGAAAAAATATGCCTGTTGAGGTCATTTTTAGAGCAAGAGTTAATGCATCATGCAAACAGCTAAATAAAGGTTACGATCTGAGTGGAATTATTCAGAGCTCAGGGAGATATCTGGCATTTGCAGTCTGTCACTGGGTTTGAGAAGTCTGGCTCTCTCCGTGTCACTGTCACTCGGGAGACATCCTGCTTTCTGTGTGGTAGTGAGGGAGGGGACTGCAGTACTGAATGATCTTCCTGTAAAAACAGCAAAAACAGGAGCGGTGGGAAGTGTCATGTGTGAGGAATGTGTGGAATGAGGGGTGAGTATTAGCCCATCTTTGTCCAGTTTTCACAGAGAGACTTTATGGGTGTGACTAGTCACTCTTCCTCCTCTCTTTTCCTCTTCAGGTCAGCTGAAGAGCCAATGTCAGGACAGCATATGATCCCTGATATCCCTGGAGGATTGCTGCATGGGGGGCTATGAAGAGCTGCGTGCCTCTTCAGACCTGCCAGTTAAGTATTGCAACTTTTGGGCCTTATCTGGTAAGGTCTTCTTGCCCTTCTTTTCCACCAACATCCCTGGGAGATGAGTGTGTCATTTTGGGGCAGGATACACCCAAAGCCAGGGTGTAGGTAGTCATAGAGCCAGGATAAAAATGCATCACTTGTAAACACCCAGGCTTTTTTAGAGTTGACAATCGCCCCAGAGGTGCTTTGCTAAACTTATGCTCTGCATTTTGTTTCCTTGTTTTGTTTCTATAAGCCAAGGGCTTGGCTGATTGCACAGGAAGTCAACTGCTATGGGCATCCACTTCAATGGGCAAATTTTGAAGAAGTCACCAGGGACTGGCTGCTGCTGAGTTCAAAGAGAAAGAGACATCCAAAAACCCTAGCCAAGCCAAGTTATGGTGGGAAATATCAGATACAAAGAGGAGAAAACCGGAAGGCACAATAGGGTGAAAGACAGATACAGCTTGATTTTCCTGTCCATAAGTGGTCAGATTAGAGTGGGTTGTGAATAGATATTTTAAAAAAAAAATCAACCAAAATGCAAACCAAACCCAAATGAAACCCCCATAATTCTGCTAAGGGAAGTTTGCTAAAGAAAGTCTGTTGAATATTGGGAAACATGTTCTGGTGTTGGTGCTCTACGAGCTGTGTGCAATGATCTGGGGAAAGTTAATATGGTGCTTGACAAAATATTGGGAAAAGTATTAGAAAGAATAGTTCCATGCAGGGCAGAAGGTGGAGCAAATGACCTGTTAAGCTCTTGCATTCATTCCTCTTTTTTTCCTTTCCTCAGTGATTTCAAGTGTTCCGAGGCTCAGATAACTCCAAGAGAAGGACCTACCTCCCATATCACAGGCAAGGTAAAGAATTTGTGTTTATAAAAATGTAAAAGAAGAGGTGGGGGGGAAATTTCAAGGGAAGGAATAAAAGTATAAAAGGTTGGTGTTGCTTCCCCACATCACACACTTGAGCAGTAGAGATTCACAAAAAGAAGACCAGGGAAAGACTGCCATCTTCTGGGAGGATAAATATCTGCCATTATTCAGAATATCTGCTATATGCATATTTTGAAACCATAGTGTATTTCTGATAAATTTATTTACCTGGCTGAATTTTATCCATATAAAACTAACTCAGACTCATTTCATCAATATATATGACATGATCCCAGCTTTAGAAACTGACATAGACTCCTGGGTTTTAATGATACTCTCATCAATCTTAAAATTACGAAGGTGTTAACATTAAGGATTATCAGTAGAGAGATGGACTTTATTTATTCTTGAGCCTGTAAACAAGGCTTTTTTTTTTTTTTTTACCAAGCACTTAGAAGTCAAACTTAAGGTTTCCAGATGCAGACTGAAATATTAAAAAGAAATCACTCTCCTTTTAAACAGCATCAGCTGTTATCCTACCTACTTCAATAAACTAAGTACATCTGTTTCAACAGAACCTTTTATTAATCAAAAACCTGCAGGCAGCCCACAGAGCACAGAGACATTTAGCATTACTTTCAGTTAGTCCGTCTTAGAAATGATTATCTATATTAGAGGAGTTTATGGAGTGACTGGGATTACACTAACCACAGAGCTGCTGCCCGCTCTGCTCAGGGCAGGAAGGGTCAGGAGCCTGGGATAGCACAGCCCACGTACTGGACCATGAACATGTGGGCTCCGTCTGCTGCCTGTGCTGTGTGGGGCTGTCACAGGCTGCGCTGTCACCCAGAACTATTCCTACACCTGCCTCCAGCCTCTGAGCTCTGGTGTTGGAAGTGGGGCAATGAGAGCAGATGGACCACTGGTTTCCTCTGTCCCAGCAGAGCAGTGTGACAGGCATGCAGGGAATCTGCCTTGCTCCCTCCCAGTGGTGGTGGGAGTCTCACTCACTTAGCACTGGGGAAAGCCTTTGTGGGGAAGACAGGATGTGTACCTTTGGGATGCTCCTCTCCCTTGCAGTTTGATTCAATGCAGCTCTGTTCCATGCCCTCTAGTGACAGTGCATTCTCATGAGAGATGATGGCATTCTTACTTTTTACAGTTTTGATACCAAACGAGGGGTATCAACACCTTCAAGTACTGTGGAAGCCTTTAAACTTTCAGGACGAGCTCAGAGGGAACTTTGGGTGAGTGTGAATCTCTATCTCTCCTTATCAGGTTCCCAAATTCATCCAATGTGAACCTGCTGGGAGCTGGGATTCCTGGTGAACTTCACATTTTGGTAAAACTGCGACCACAAGGGACACAGACAGCCTACCTCATTCTCTCATCCTTTGAATACTGGACCTGACTTGTCACTGTTTCACAACACCTTCATGGCGCCAGTCTGCCACTCAGCAGCTCTTCTGCTAAGTGGCTCCTTTTGGCATAAAAATTTCCAGTGCCTATGGGGAGAGCTGCATTGGCATCTCTTCAGTGACTGAAATCCTCAGTCTTCAGAGCAGATGCAACTGCATAAACTTCCTTCTCCCCATTTATTTTTCTCCCCTTTCTGCAACTGCCAGGTCTCACCAGGAAGATATCCCAGGGCAGGGAGGCTTGTAGACTTGGCCATTCTTCTGAGACAGGAATGACCTGATGACAAGGCTGCAGTGGGTTTCCAAGCTAAGGTCACTTATTCCCTGAAGCCAAAGATCTGCCAGCTCACTCCATACAAGCTCTCAAACAACCACTGCATGAGGATGTCTGGAATATTTCTGTGTTTTGAAGAAACTTTCTACTCAGTCAATGCGGGTCACTGTTCTCCACTTAATCCCAACCCGCAGCATCAATCGCCTTGCATATAATCTCCCAGAACATCTGTGCTGTGATTGCATTGTGGATTACAAAATGACCATTTTCCACAAAACAGCTGCTGATCAGAGGGATAGCATTTAATAATCATTGAGGAGGCAAGGGAGGAGGGGACAAGACAAAGGAGAGAGGGGTTTTGCAGCAATTGGGTTTCTTGGAGGATGTAGAGATGAGCAAAACAGCAGACAAAGCGTGAGTCCCATTTCTATATTGCTCATCATCAAATTAACAGGACTTCGAAGACTTGCTGCTAAGGTAAATTCATCTCTATTTCCTTTTGGGGCTATCTAGATATTAATAGTCAATTATTGTCAGTGAGTGCTTAGCTTTTGAGGAGGGGAGCTTTTCTGACAATGTTTCCAGGAAGTAGTTCAGATTTGCTTCTCATTCCCTATGTCCTCTGCATCCTTGATCTACTTCCTTCTTCTGACTTATTTGTTTCTTATATTTTTTATTCTCTTTTCCTTAACACTTTTCTTGAAATTGCATGGCCTTTCAACTACTGTCACAAATCAACTGGAGAGAACATTTTTCCCACTATCGATGATTTAAATTAGAAAGATGATTTTTTCAATATTGTGAGTAGATTTTTTTTTAAATAAAAGCATAAACAGCCCAAAAACCTCATGACAGAAAGTCTTATAATCAAGCATTGATGAAAATCTGAAAAACTTTGTGTGCTGAAGGTTTCTATTTTCAGGTGAAAAATTATATTTTTGAGGAGAACAATTTCATCTATAATTTCCTTTTCAGTCATAAGCCAAATTTTTCACTGACAAAAACTTTCAGTGAGAAATTTGCCACCAACCTTAGCCAGAAACTGTTCCTAGTAGGTACCTGCTCTGCAAAAATGGTGATATCCAACATGCTTTCAGATCACAGAAGTCATTAGCTATGGAATCACTGAGATGTTACCATCTCCAGGGTGGAGCTTTTCCATTGCTGCAAGAAAGAAAAGCCCTGGTGAAGAGACAAAAGAAGCCAGAGCATAAAACACAGGAAATTTTCAGAAGCTGAGTACTTTCTTGCTTTCAGTGAGGCTGAAGTCCTGCTTTTCAAGATGAGCTTCAGCACCATCTTTATTGACCACATTTCCAAGCTTGTTGGTTAGCAGAAAATATGATTCTAATTGCACCACTTTTAGCTGTGGTGCAATCACAAACAATGCAGAGTTTGCTCTTGTATCATTTATTTATAGTGGTGTCCACAGAACGCTGGCTCTTTCTCACACGTTCGACGTTGGATGAGTCAGCCGAAGTTAAGTGAAGAGGACCAGCAGCAGGCAATGTCTGTACAAACTGAATCTATTCATGGACAAATAGATTTTGAGTCATAAATAGGAAAGAGTGGGAGTATCTGGATGAAGCTGTGCCAAACATAGGGAGTGCCACGTGGGAAGAGACATGCGTTGATTACATGAAAGTTGATGTGTAGGTAGATGATACCTAATCAATCCATGGAGTGATAGGTTGGGGTTCTCAGAAGTCAGTGAAGGGGTTTGCAGGAATCCTAAGGTCTTAAGCTTCCCTCTGAGTGGGAAAGCCCACATGATCCTGGTTCCCAAACTGCTTTTTTAATTACTTTTAATGTTGAGATGAAACTGGGAAGAAGGTTTGTGGCAATGGTCACTCCTATAAAAAACCTTCAACCTCTGGCACTTTGTGTGAGAACAGAGATGCTGTCATCCCACCACCCTACCAGATTTCTGATGTGCTGGTCAGGGCTCAGGTGGGAGGTGCTGCTCTTGGGTTTGAACTCGAGATGCCAGGTCTGGATGGCTGGCTGTCTCCTCTGAGCAGGCCACTGCTTTCATGTGTGTCCCACGACCCTCAGCAATATGAGAACATTTTCCTGCCTTTCCCCACAGTGAAATCACTACACTCTCTACCTCCACAGGTTCAGTAATTAATGGCTTGAAGAAGTGTTTTGGGACACTTGGCAGCACAATTTCTCATTTAGTTGGACAGAGCAACTCATGGTATTTGAGGAAGTTGGTTAACAGTTTTTTCCTATCATCTCTGAGACAGAGTAAATGTGATGTTCTTTCATTTTGCTCATGTGCTCAGATACCTCAGTGCACTCAGCCCTGCTATGTCTGCTGGATTACCCTCTCTTACCCAGTACAGATATTCAGCATACTTTGAAATGGTTGAACTGATGTATTTGGTCCACTGCCCTGGCTTCCAAGAAATGGTTCTGCCATGATGAGTGAGCTGCTGGGATGTTGTGAGGAGGACAGAATCCTCATAACCCCTCCCCACAGATGCCTGCTGGGAAAAGCAGAGATTTGTAACTCTAGGTAGGACAAGTGGCTGGTGTGACAGTCACTCCCATTTGTGTGTTGTAGATGGAGCTGCTGAAGCAATTGCAATTGCACCGTACTTTCCTGGCTGTCGTCCTGAACCTGCTGGCTCTCACCCTCTCTACCACTGCCTTGCTTGGCAGCTACTGGTGCACCGGGACCCAGAAAGTGCCCAAACCTCTGTGTGGGAAGAGCAAAGCCACCCAGTGCATCGGTGTCCCCATGCCATCTGATGCAGATGCTAGCAATGCTTCATCTGAGGATGTGGTGCACTACAGCTGGGAGACTGGAGATGACCGCTTTGCCTTCAAATACTTCCACACAGGGATGTGGCTTTCCTGTGAAGAGAGCATGGAAGGGCCAGGTAGTGTCTTGCTCAGGCAACCACAACTTATTCCCTCGTATTTATTCCACAGCAGTTTGAAAAGTGAGAGGTGGGAGGCTGACAACACTTGGGAGAAGTCTTCTTCATTTTCCTAGATGGCACTCTGTGCTCAATACATTTCTGTCCTTCACTGGAATGTTCACAGAGCGGGGAAGGGGGGAATGGTTGTCTCTAACGAGCCCTTCAGTCTGGAACAGGGTCTGTGGAGTGGAAATGGTGGTGGTGATGGCAGTGACTTTGTGATGGCATTGTCCATCCTGATGGGATCTTCAGTGACCTTCCTTTCTCTTTCCCCAAATTTCCATTCCTATACATAGCTTACTTCATGCTCTCCAGGGTAAACTTGTGCATGTCCTCTCAGAAATTTAAGTACAGTGACCTTATGCAGAGTTGTCAATTTTTACCTATAACTGTGAGGACTGCATTAGTTGGTGGTGTCTTTAAAACACCAAACAGACAGGTTTTGTGTTATTAAACAGAGACTGGGCTTTTCTTTAGGAAAAAAAAAAAAAAAGAGAGAGAGAGAGAGAGAGAGAAAGATAATTACTACTTATAGATACAGAGAAAACCTGGAGGATTTGAACCCAGAGAAACTGAAGCTAGGAGGCAAATTGACCTGAGGATTAGAGCAGCAATATTCTAATTGTTTTTAGATGTTTTCGTGATGTTGTGACAGGCTTCATTTGTGATTTTTCACCACCTGGGACTGGCACTGTAAATCCTAAAGTGCCAAGGACTGGTTGTGCAACCTGTACGAGAACCCTTTGGTGCATCCCTTCACCCTTGACTTGTTCCTGCCCAGACCTACTGAAGTCCTTCTGCTGGAACCTGTGCTACACCCCTACAGGTGGATGCTCTGCAGTGCACAGATGCTCTTTACGGCCTGGCACACACATCAAGGATTGGAACTGACCCAGAAGGTGGCCAATGGAGAGATAGGCATCTAAGGATATAGTGATGAAAGTCACTTTCATCAGGCCCATTCCTCTGAGCCCACTGCCCTCCCTTCAGCTCTCCCCAAGGACAAACGTCTCATCTTCTTTAACCAAGCCACAGTTCCAGTAGAGCATTTCTAATTTTCTTATCTGTTCCTGTCAGAGTTTGAAAATAAATAACTGGTGAATAAAAGCAGACAGAAGCGGGGGTTGGAGCAGAAGGGAATGTGCTTGAAACTCTCATGTCCTAACGGGTGGGCTGCTAATTGTTGTGAATGCTTCCAGACAGGCTGCAGAAGGAGATGTGTTTATTTGGGACTGGTTTGGGTGTTTGGTTCTTGTGGGAATGGAAGTACATCCCTTGACTGATTTCTTTAAAAGACTTATCTGGCCACTGGGCAGTCCTGGGATAACCCCAAAGCCTGAAGGAACACGGAGAGCACGCTACATCTGGATCACAGCAGAGCGTGGGGTAGAGCATGGGGTGGAGCACAGTCAGTCTCAGTCTCTGGCTTCCTGTAAATCAAGTACAACCCACCCACTATGGCATATCTTTGAAGCAAGTGCATAGACAACAACAACAACATAAAAGGGGCTACTAAGAACAAAAGGAGTTTGAGCTGAGCTGCAGAAAGGATTTCATTATTCAGGCTAATCTCAGGATCAGTTTAGATGAGCCACTACTGAATATCCTCATTAAAGTTCTAGGTGAAGTAGCAAATTGCAAGTTAATGAGAATTGCAGATGGCACTAAACTGGGTAGCATCCTGAGAGCTGTGGATGACAGAAGTAACACAGGAGATTTGGAAAGATTAGAACTGGGGATAGAAATTAAGAAAATGAGATTCTTACATGAAGTGGAAATGTCTGGGAGAAAATATTGTGCCAAGTAGAGGAGAGGACCCTCAAATGCAGTAATGCACTATGCAGGAAGAGAAACTCACAGATAATAATGATGTACCTGCAGCTGAGACAGTAGTTTGTGCCTGACCAATGTAAAAAACAAAGCAAATATGAACACAATTTGTCAAAATAGCATGCCTAAAATGTGAGGACAGAAGATCATATTTCTGTATGATCTCTGCCACAGAAGAGGGACTTACATCTCTGTCATGAAGTATTTTATGTGGGAAACTTGATTTTTGTTTTATTTGGGTTTTTTCCTTGTTCTTTGAGAAGCAGTGCTAGAACTGCTCTTCTGAGATTGGGATGAGTGGAAATTCACATCCCCAGCAAAAGTGGTGGGTCTGTGATCTGTAATAAGCTACACTCCTAACAGACCTGACCATCAGTAAGGTTGTGAATGATTAGCAACAGATTTTTATATTCAGCAGAGGCTCATAAGGTTTACAAATTGCTGAAGGTTTTTTTCTGGAAAGGTCATTTCTAGTTTTCCAGGCAGAGGTTGCCTTCCCCAACTTTGCCCCAGTGGAAAGTCTGGAAAGATAGTCAGAAAAAGACGAGAGGTGAGAAGATCATGAGGTGATGGCTGGACTCAGGGATGACTGGATCTGTGCGCTGAAAAGAGAGTGAGGTGAAGACATTTTCTTTTCCCTTATGTACCCTGCATTGTTTTGTAAACTAATAGCTTTGATTTTGTGTTTCAGAAGAGAAATGCCGCAGCTTTATTGAGCTTTCACCACCAGCAGAGAGAGGTAAGAGCAAATCCCCGTATCTCAGTGTAGCTGCCAAGTGTGTCTACTTGGGATGGGGGATCTGCAACATTTTGCGTGTGTGGGGACAGCAGGTTCCCAAAGAGCCAGGCATGAAATCCTGGCCTCGTGGTTGCTAAAAGAGCAAAGATTTTGACCCACATGTCTGTGTAAACCATTGCCATCAGTGAAATCAGTCCTAGAAGCCTCAGATCCCCTCCCATATGAAGTGGGATTTTTCTCATCTAGTAAGTTTCCCAGTCGGACAGTCATCTTGCTGTAGTCGGGGGAAGAGGTGGATGCCACCTGAGGGCAGTCCCTCCCACACAGGCTATGTGTTAACTCAGTGCTTCAGTTTGGGTGAAGTCTAGTGTGGGGAGTCTAGAAGCTGAATCACCTCTTACTTTGTGGTAAATGAACAGGACACCCTTTTAGGGTAAAGTCCTTGCCTCAAATACAAAGCAAATACATTTGGGTAGGAGAGATCATCCCTCCTGTCACTGTCATGTTTCAAATTATCCTGTGGATAACCTCAGTCTACTTCAATGTATGTGTACATATGCTAAGGAGATTTTACTTAATTAAAGCTTTTCAACTGCTGTGGGCTTGCTAACTATTCCCTGAGATGGAAGCTGAAGGCAAGTCATTTCAGAGGATGCTCGTATGTGAAGGGAAAGGCCTGGGGTGCAGGGCTGGTGTCAGCGTTCAGGCCATGAGAGCAAGGGCTGGAACAAATGTTGGGGAATTGTAAGAATGTAGTATCATCATCATTTCACGTAGTATCATCTTAAGATGATCAGTGCAGCTGCCACTGTATAGCTGGGTCAGCACTGGAGAAGGTGGTGTGACTGCTGAGCTGGTTGTGTGCAGAGGAGCTCCACAAATCATAGGCAACATTACAAGACCAAATTACAAAGCATCTGTGGAGAGCCTGGCCTCACAATGAAAGGCCAGATGCAGAGGTCTCTGTGCATGTGTGGTGCCTGCAACCTCCAGAATACTTTTGGCAGTCTGACCTCTAATGAAATATTCTCCCTGATGGTGCTGCAGCAAGCGAGCCAGCTCCTTTAAACAGGGAATGCAGCTCATCAATTTCTGCTAAAGAGCTGGGTGACTCTATGGCACTAATGATGTTGAGTATTCAAGTCAGTGCCACATTAATGAGGGTTTTCTTCACACTCCTTTTCCCCAGCTGAATGTCTCCTCTACAGCCATTAATAGTTGCTAACAGCAGTGTTCACAGTGCTGCTTCATTTGTCAGATTAATGTTTCTTCCTGAGTGAATCCTGTGCTTTTCCACAGCCCTGCATTACAGTGTCTTTTCTCATTCTCCTCCAAGTTCTACTGCACAGCTGTAGAACTGAGCTCAGCTGTGCACTGTGGTGTCACTTAAATCCCACTCAAAATCCCAGCATGAAAGTATCTGCACTCTGTTCAAGAAGCAGGGTGAGTGGTGAATGTTACTGCCCTAGCTGGCTATCAACCCCAAAGAATGTGTTTCATTTTAATTGGGGATTTGGTGAGAAATACAGGCTTGCAAGGGATTTCCTGAATTCCAGAGGCCAGGTCCTGACATAGCTGTGGATGCACCATATAGTTCTTAACTAGTTGAGTCCCAGGTTAAAAGTTGTTTTCTTATATTGCTGTGATTATAGCTCAGATGTGTTCGTGGTCAATCTATAATCACTAGTTTTTATGCCAATACTCAACAGCTTCCCTTGTTTTTTTCCCCGTTTTCCTCTTTGCTGTTTATGAATAATGCTGACTTGTTTACAGATGGCATTTTAGTCCTTCTCAGCTTTGCCATGCTACACTAACAAAGCCATCTTCTGTGACAGACACTGTCCCATCCAGCATTCTTTTAGTCCTTGCTCACAGGTTGGGGTAATTGCTTTTGAGTGTTTGTTGTTTGCCTTTGATCCCTTCTTTCCAAAGGAAATCCTTTAAGGATTGGGTTGGGAAAGGGGGGTACTTTCCCTTGAATGTAGTTTCATCCTGTATTCCCGGCAGGAATCCTGTGGCTGTCGCTGGGATCAGAGATGCTGTACATCAGCTTGCTGCTCATCAGCTTCATCCTCCTCACGGTGGAAATGCTGCATACTGGCAATCCTGTCTGTGGGATGAAGCTCAATGCCTTTGCTGCTGTCTCCTCAGTGCTGTCAGGTAAGTTTATTACTGTAGGCTTGGAATCACAGAAGCAGGAGAGCCTCCTCTTCAACACAAGGCTGAAGTATGCTGCTTGGGCTCCTGCTGTAACTTATTTGCTTTGTCTTTTGTGTCCAGGTCTCCTTGGGATGGTGGCCCACATGATGTATACTCAAGTCTTCCAGGCAACTGTTAATCTGGGACCAGAGGACTGGAGACCGCACTCATGGGACTATGGCTGGGCGTTCTAGTACGTGAGCTCTGAAGCCATCCTGACCTCCCCAGCCTTCTGGGCTTCAGCCATGCCACCTGCTCCCTCCTCCTTTCTTGACCTTCTGTGTTTCCAAAGACATGGTTCTCCTATTACTAATCTCTTGTCTTTACCTTATCCCCATTTTAATAAATAGTTAGTATTAAATTAATGAGTAGCTACCAAAGGACTGGCAAAACAATGGGGTCACACCTAAACAATTTCCTTCAACCCTGCTGATTAATCAGGTTTGGCCCTCTCTTGGTTTGCCGTGTTTGGTCTCAGCTCTTCCCTGTGTGCAGAGGCCAGTGTCATACTTGTGATGATGCTCTCAAACATGTCTTGTTTTTCTGCAGTTTAAGTAAGTTGCATGCTGATTTGGCATCTTCACTAAGCAATGTCCAAAGGGCCTATTCCTGCAACACCAAGTCTAGACATATGCTTAAAGATGTGGCCACAGCCCAGCCCACAACCAGCAGTCACACCGTCTTCTCCAGCGCTGGCCCAGCTGTACAATGGCAGCTGCACTGGAGGCCAAGGTCATCTTAAGATGATACTACATGCAGGAAGGAGTGAAAGGGGCGATAGACCACAGTGTCACTTATGAGCCAGGAAGAGCAGCTGCAAAAAGCAGACAGCTCAAGGTGCCTTTCTCTAAAGGATAAAGTAGCCAACAACAGCTGGTATGACATATCTGACTTGAAATCAACAGTTAGATAAGCCTTCCAAGCATCCATAGAAAGTGCAGGTTCAATTTGCAATGCTGTACTGATGATGACCACATCGATTTTTAAGACTTAAACACTCCAGTGCCAGGTGCCACCCATGGCCATCAAATGTCATCATGACAGTCTGGTTACACTCAAGTAGACAAGCCTCATGTGCAGGAAGGCACTGAGCAGCCCTGTAATACAGAACTTGCTTCCAAGCTGTGCTCTCCTACTCTGACCAGTTACAGATGTTCCTGCTACTCTTTACCTCTCCTGTGTATCCCTCCCTTCCCCGTGACAGGGATGACCAGTATTTATCCCACTGATCTAAGAAGGATTATGTGGTGGGATAACCCCCAAGAACTGTAATGTTTTGAGACTTAGTCATTCTAGTTCATGTCCATGCCCAGCAGCTTCTGCCTTGCAGATCAGGGTGTGTCACACTGTTCAATTCCTTACCCTACCTGGCTTCTCACAGCATGTGCTTCTTTTGTGTCTCTCTGGTAGCATGGCCTGGGCCTCCTTTACGTGCTGCATGGCCTCTGCTGTCACCACTCTCAATACTTACACCAAGACGATACTGGAGTTCAAAAGGAACCACATCAAGGGCTATGATGGGAGCTTCAAGGATCAGCCTCAGCACCACCAATGCTTCCTACAGCAAATAAGCAGCTACTATGAGCCCAAAGGCAAGGCCTTCCTTTCAGTCTCTGAGGGAGTCGACTTCTACACTGAACTGCAGCAGAAAATGCTACAGCGGGAACCAGACCTGGAGCTGGATGAAGTCTTGGGACAGACGATCGGGGAGGATCGCTGTTAGGGATGAGTGTACAGGGACAGAGCAATGGGGTTCGGGAGGCACAAGAGCTCTGCAATGAACACTGGCACCACTGTTAGCAAGCTCTTGGAAGGCTCTTCCTTCCTCTACAGTTCAGGGATTGAGATGGTGGGCACTGGGTCAGGGCAACCAACAGTGCTAACAGTAGTAGGCTGAGGGTCCTCCCTGATCAGTGTTTTACGGGTGTCCTCAGCTAAGAAGGGTGAAACATATTGGTGCCAGCTGCCTCAAGTCCTTTCAGACAGAGTTGAGGCAGATGTCCTAATCCCAGTACTGCACTTGGGAATAGACAGTCAGCCCTATCCAGATGGCAAATTGCACTGCTGGACCTCTTTGAGTGGTGTCACATTGACCTTCCATCAACGCCCCCAGTTCAGTGCTATGGTGAAGGGCATCAGTGTTTATACTGATCAGTTGTCATCCTCTCTGAACACCCTATTTATTCTTAACTTCCAGGCCCAGACTCCTCCCTGCCCCCAGGTTAAAAGTCCTGCTGCAGCAGGAATGGGGGATAGCTTTCAGACATCTCTCTCCTCGTCTTTCCTATCTGTAATGACTCCCACATGCTCCCCCCTTGCTTTTTCCCCAGAAATCTCTCATTCTGAGGTACTTTGCTGTCCTTTTTACTGTTTCTTCACAATCTTTGGCTATACTTTTGCTTTTTTCTTTGCTTCTATTCATCTGTTCCTTTTTCCCTATCATAAAAATATTGCAAGCAACCCCCAAATCAAAACCCAAAGTACACTCATCATCTCTCAAAGGTGAAACACTGGTTCACATGACACATGATGCTGTACACAGTATTTATTTGCTCCACTGCAGTTCACAGTTCAAATACATTTTCCCAACAATATACAGACAGACTCTTTATTCACAGTGGGGGAGGGTGTGGGGTGTGGGCAGGGTGAATTCACATTAAGGAGGAGCTAATGCCACTGCACTGGAATAACAGTTCTCTCAGGAAGAACCTCAGAAGAATAACTACTTAGGTAACAGCCGCTTCACCTTTCCCAGCAAGGTGGTGGCTGGTCAGGAGGGAGGAGGCACTCCTGTTTAATCCCTCTTATGTTACTGGTCCTCACACTTTCAGTCCTATTATGCAGCTGTATTGACTGACTATGTATTATAAACACTAAACCCTGTCTGAAGGAAAACGCCAGGCCTAGAGCAGTTGCTACAGTTGTGCTAAATATATACAAAGCTATTTACACAAAAATACCATTAAACATATACAAACTGTTCACAGGCTCTGACATTAAGAGAGCAGGGCCCAAGGACCAGCCTTGGGGCTTGCAGCTAATCTGGAAGGGCTATCCTGGAAGCTTTATATGAAGAGATGCAGGGATGATAAAGAGAGAGGGTGATACAGCAAGGAGAGGTGTCAAGAGCCCAGGAGAGCAAACCAGTGGTAAATGCACCCATCTGGAAGGAGGGTCAGTCTGCCATAACCTCACCACTCACTGGGAAGTGCAGGGAGGCTAGAAGGACACATGCCAGCAGGAGGACAGAAGAGTCTTTGCAATCCTCATTGCAGCCTGGCTCTGCCTAATGTCAAAGGTCAGACCTGGAAAGGCATACTGGGAAAACAGTCCCTACATTGTTACCCTGAACTGTGGGGAACTGTTGGGGCACCAAAGTGTTTCCTTTTTATACAGTCATTTCTCTCACAAGAAAGTTCGTGCAGATGCTCTGTAACTGCAACACAGGAGACTGATGACACACTCTGGGGCACAGTTTGAAACACTAAACGCACTGTGAGCAAATGTCTCCCAGAGGTAGCCTGTTCCTCCTGGAACTGCACACAGGGCTGCGCTGGCAAGGGAATGGCAATATTGAGCCCAGAATAGGGTTAAAATGCACAGAAAAGCTTTCCAGTTCTGTCTCTGTCTGAGCCTCTAAACCCTGAAGCAGTGGCATAAGAATCAGCTTTTCTGTGACCAGATTGAGTGACCTTTACAGTGACAGTTAGGATCTGCTGGGAATCTATCCCAAAAGGGCTGTGATATATTTGCAAAGGAAAACTCAGCTCATTGGACTGCAGTGTGATATTACAGTGGGGTTCATACAAAGCTTAGGGATATAGAGAAATAAGATGTGAATCTTGCACTTCTACGTCACCCACATGCACCTGTCCTGAACTTGGAATTGGGAAAGAAATACACAAGTTCAAGGGCTGGCAAATGCTATGGAGACCATCTTTCTCTAGATCAGGTAATTCAGCCAGAGAGCTAGTTTGTTCATGAGTTTGGGGACAGCATGAAGAAGAGGGCTGAGAACATGGGAGAGGCTCTAGACAGGACTAACCCTGCGGGAGCCAGACAGAGGCTTCAATCTAAAAATACAAATATTAAAGCAGGTAGTGTGCTTTATCCACACCATTTGCCTTGATCCATCGTGGCCCGCTCTAGGCCTAGAGATTGTTTGACTGCCTGGGAATACTGTTTGGACATAAAAAGGTGTGTTCTAAAATTCATTCATAAATTAAACATACAAAAAATATACATATATTGTATAAATTAACACATATATATATAAAGCCTGGTTTTATATATATATGTATATAAATTCTAAATTCACATTTCTGTGTTACCTGGAAGGAAGCATGCAAGAACAGCATATGGAGGGGGAGTCACTGAACAAGGTTCCTCTGGTACAGGTCTGCCTAGGACAAACCTGCCTCTGCCAGCATTCCCCAGATAGCTGAAGAAAGGGGAAGTGCTTTTAGCCCCTGTTCCCTCTACACAGCAATTTTCTGGAAGATCCACAGAGCAGCTTCCTGTATTCCCCATACAGGCCACAGGTCCAACCAAAATCTGAGGAATCACCAGGCTAGAGCTGGAGAAGGAAAGGCAAACAAACATTAAAGCCAAAACCTATTATCATCTCTTTGCATCCCACCAGTCTCTTTGCACAATCTCACCTTCTGAGGAAAGTCAACAAATTTCATCCGGGCAAGAAACCGCCTCACTTCCCCACGGCTGATTTTCGGAGTGGTGGTGTCTTTTAACCACACCATTCGACCTTGACTCATCATGGCCCACTTCAGGCCCAGCTTGCTGACCGAGAGAAATCCTGGTTGTTTTTCAGAGGTTGCAGTTGTTGTCACAGTGATGTGAAATGCATCCTTCTGGAGATCGTTAATTCCAACTGGTCCATCAGAAAAGGAAGAGAAAATAGTGGTGAGGAGTAAATTATTACATTTATTCCAAAAGAAATCTTACAGTCTTTACTCAGTCAAAATGTCCACTGGACTGAGGGTATATTCAGTCTGACTTTATAATTCCACGTACCATAGTTAAAAAGGGAAAATAATTTTAAGTTAAATTTTTTTCCATGGAAAGAAACTGAAATTTAGATCAGAAATGGAAGGGATTGGTTCCAGGTTGTGGTTTTGAGCCTGACATAGGAGATGCACATATTTCAAGAATGTGATTCACTCTCAGAGCATTCCTTCCCACACCTGTTAGAAGCTATTGTTTACCGCTATAGAAGGGGAAATCTGTAAAGCGCGGGCAAGTCAGTTCACTGCAGTCACTGTAGAATGATCTGTACAGACCTCAGAAATCCCAGTTTCTAAAAAATCCCTCTAAAAATTGTATTCTATTTGTTCTTGACTGAACTGTGTTTCTGATACAAACCAAATTACACATTATCACTATGAGGCAGTTTTTCCATGCTTCCTGGACTACTGGTCCCAGTGTTGGATGAACTCCTCTTTTATCCCACATTGCCCTGCACAAGAGGCTGGTTAGTGGTCGAACTGCTTTAGAAAGAGCAAGGCAACCCAACAGGGACTGTACAGTCCTGTATAGATGCTAAATTTGTATCTACTTTTCCCTAAAAACACAAGTTTAAATATTCTGAATTCCCCCTTATAAAAAGAAAGACGAAGAAGCAGCACGGCCAATATCCCAAAGAGATGGCCAACAAAAGCAGAAGTGTATCTGAGACGACAAAGTTTCATAGTGATTCTTCATGCACTGCCTTAAACCATAAATAGCTCCATGGAAAGCAAGGCAACTTCTCTGGTGTAAAATATGCATGAAATCAAACTTGGACCTTTCCTTGCTTAAACATGTGCAAGAAACTTTGTGTGCCTTTTATATTTCCAAAGTAGGGGTCGGACAGGACGTTTGTTCAGGTGGAAGATGAATCTTATTTCCCACTGTTGGCCTCTGTCTGATGGATCTCGGGTGCTACCTTTAGAGGCAAAACTACACCCTACTGTTTCTCACAGCTACTTCTCTCTCCATAGTTCTTTCAGCCTAGGTAGTTTCTCCTCCATTTGTACTTACCTGCTGAAGCAATGACTTTGTCTGTTGCATTGGTGAGGTCCAAAAGGACTGTAGGAAAAACAGGATGGAGGAGATAGAGGTGGTGCAGCCCTGGGCGCTCAGGTCTGGGACCAGGTTGCTGTTGGATCGACAGACAGACAAAAACATAACAACTGGCTAGCAAAGAGGACTCCAGCATTGCCAAAAAAATAAAGTTTTCTGACACTGCACTGTCTTTCATGGATCAGAGAATCAAAAACTCTATGGTTTAACAGAGGTGAAACTTCGGTTTGGTAAGACTGAAATCTGCCTCTGTCATATCCAGCTTGATGGGTAGAGCTACAGTCTGGAAGTTTGAGTCTCCATGCTGAATTCTGTGCCTGCGGGCAGAGAAGTGCTCTGGGTCTGGGAACAAATATGCAATTACAACACCTGAGTGTTGCACAAAAGAATGAAGTTCATACAGAAATTTTTAGTTTTGTGGATGTGAAATTTCTGTTGATAAAGCTTTATGATGAAGAATTTGCACACAAAAACTCCTGTGTTTAGGCTCATGTCAAAGGAAGAGATGTCCCTGACAGCCTTCTTATATGTTAGCTTTAAAATTCAGTGATAACATGAAAAAAAGACAGAGACTGCATGCACTTCACAGAGAAACCTCAAAGTGAAGAAAGGATGCTTGCTCACCAAACTTTGTAACACAGGCTG